GTTTATCAACACCTTTTACCAAATATATACTTAATAACATATGATCAGTTTTAACACTTCAATAAAATAAAAAATTATATTTCTATTTAATTAGTCAACTGTTTATTTGTAAAATTAATTTAATCACCTAAAAATGTTCTTTGAATTTGATATTTATCAACTAAATAATACTTTCTCCATTTTAATTTATTCGACATATTTTGATTTGATACATAATTTATGAAGATAAAAAGGAATTTTGAATCTTTTAGTAGTTTTAAATTAAAGATATATGATATATTTAATTTTACTATTTTAACTTAATGTCAATTGAAAAATTAAAGTTGAAGAATTTTATAAAGAAAAAAAACATTTTACTAAACGAGTTAAAAAAGAAAAAGTAAGACAGACAAACAAACTCATTGTAACGAAGGATGTAATTGTTATTGCCCAGTAGAAGTTAACAAAGTTATTGGAAAACCAGCCCATTGGTTGTTGTCTTCATTTCTATGGCTTTTATCAACCACTCCTAGTCTTCTCTCTCTGTTTATCTTGTGAAGTCAAGAAAGAATGTCACTGCACCATTTGTTCACAATCCAATTATCTTTTTTATTCCAATGGCTTCTCTTCAAGAATTACTAGCTGATGAAGGTTTTGAAAAGACTAAAAAAACTCATAGAAAAGTTAAGTTCAAAGACAGAGAAGACTCAAACAACATTGCTCTGCCTATTTACATTTGCCATGACAGAAGATCATCATCGCTGGATTTCTCCAAGACTAAATCTCGTAGACCCTTTTCGACTACTACTACTTCTTCTGTTCATTCGTCACAAAAATCGAATGTTAAGTCCACTCATACTCATGTTGGAGGAAACATTACAAGAAGAGATGAGCCTGCTATTGATGAAATTGCTATAAGAGCAGTGATTTCTATACTTGCTGGCTTTGTAGGACAATATTCGAGGGATAAAGATTTTCGCAAAGCTATAAAGGAGAAATGTTATGCTTGTTTTGTGAGAAAGAAGGATGGGATTTTTGCTGATATAGAATTGGCTATTGAGAGTATAGAGAGATTAGTTGATAGTATTGGTGATACTAAAAGGGAAGTTAAAGTCAAGTCATTGCAATATTCTATTAGGCTATTGACAATTGTGGCATCTTTGAATTCCAATAACTCTGGAAATGCCTCAACTTGTGGAATTCCCAATTCTAATCTCTCTGCTTGTGCACAGCTCTACTTATCTATCGTCTACAAGCTCGAAAAAAATGATAGGATTGCAGCAAGGCATCTCCTTCAGGTGTTTGTTGATTCGCCATGTATTGCTCGGACACACTTGCTTCCTGAGCTTTGGGAGCATTTGTTTCTTCCGCACCTTCTTCATCTAAAGATTTGGCATACACAAGAATTGGAAGTTCTATCGAGTTCGGATTATGCTGAAAAGGAGAAGCACATGAAGGTCTTAAACAAGCTCTATAATGACCATGTTGATATTGGTACAACAAAGTTTGCTCTCTACTATAAACAATGGCTCAAGGTTGGTGCCCAAGCCCCTGCTGTTCCTTCTGTTCCTTTGCCTTCTAAAGTTGGATACTCAACTTCAAGAAGACGTTCCATGGATTCTGTCACTTCCAATTCCTCCGTCAAGAACAATTCCTTGTAAGTTTCATGGTAGAACTGTTCTTTTTTATGTAATATGCTTCCTTGGATAGTTTTGAGCTTCAAAGTTTTTTTCGTTATCCTGAAGATATCGTGCTGTTTTTGGCCCAATTACGGAGAGGAAATCCATGGATGATGCAAGAAATGGAATTTGGGACTATGAGGAGGACGAAAAAGAGAAGATTTTATCCATTGGAGATGACTTTAAGCAAAGCAATTACAGTCCAGTGAGTGACTTTTACATATTATCTTTTGTTGATTCTTGAAAGGGTATGATGAGATTTCTAATTAGATTCTTGATTTTGACAGAAAAAAACTGTGGTTCATCGAAGATCATCGAGTCAAAGTAATAGAACTCCAAAACATGATCAATGGGATCATACTCATAAAAAATCAGACCGCTTCCCGTATTTCAGTTGTCAAAGTGAGCCTGTGGAGTGCTTGAGAGAAGGAAACAGTAAGATTGGCAGTGTTTCCATCAGAAAGGAAGAAGAAATAATTCCTTCTGTTTCAAATGATCTAAGTAGAGCTATCTTCGCGATTTGCTCCTCAGATAGCTTAAGTGAGTGTGAACTGGCAATCCGTTTGGTGGCAAAATCTTGGCTTGATTCTCATGGAGATCTTGAGACTGTAAAGAGATTGTCCACAACACCAGTGATTGAAGGAATAGTGAACGTTTTATTTGCATCCGAAGATGATGAGATCTTGGAACTAGCCATCTCAATCTTAGCAGAACTAGTCACTAGGAAAGAGACGAATGGACAAATCATTCTGAACTCAGATTCACAGCTTGATATTTTCTTGAGACTATTGAGAAGTAGCAGCCTGTTTCTCAAGGCTGCAATTCTGCTTTACCTAGTGCAGCCAAAGGCGAAACAGATGATATCAATTGAGTGGATTCCATTAGTACTTCGAGTATTGGAATTTGCAGATCAGTTGCAGACATTATTCACGGTTCAACGTAGTCCTCAAGAGGCAGCATATTACTTGCTCGATCAACTTCTTACTGGTTTTGATGAGGACAAGAATTTTGAAAATTGTAGGCAAGTCATTTCACTAGGGGGATTGAGCTTGTTGCTCAGACGAGTTGAAACAGGAAATGTCTCAGAAAAGAGTAAAGTGGCTTCAGTTATGTACTATTGTGTTCAATCTGATGGAAGCTGCAGGCATTACCTGGCCAAGAACTTGAATAAAGATTGTCTTCTTCCCCTTCTATTGCTTCAGAACCAGCACAACACTCGAGGACATGTTTTTGCACTTCTCACCGATCTTCTCTGCATCGATAAGTGAGATTTTCTTGTTAAGCTCTCTTATGCAATCTACTTCTTTTTCTTGCATCTAAATGAACAAGTAATTTTGCATGATGTTACAGGCAAATTCAAAGAATAGAATTCTTACGCGGACTACTAAGTGGATGGGGAATGGTGAACGCCTTGCACATTTTGCTACTCTATCTCCAAAGAGCTCAACAAGAAGAACGCCCCGTTATCTCTGCCATATTGTTACAGCTTGATCTTTTGGTAAGTCTGTTTCCTTTATAGTCCTATCCGATTCAATGAATAATTCAGAAGGAATCCTCATTTAGCTGCAGTCATGCTGCAGGGAGATCCGAACGAGTGCAGTGTGTATAGAGAAGAAGTAATTGAAGAAATAATAAAAGCCTTGAACTGTCAAGTATTCAATGAAAAAGTCCAAGTACAATCAGCCAGAGCTCTACTTATACTAGGGAGTTGTTTTTCCTATGCTGGAGAGCCAGTAGTGGAGCAATGTCTGTTAAAAGAAGCAGGCTATGACGAAAACGCTGGGGATTCATATCTTGGCAAAAACTTCATCCTTAACAGTCATACAAACTTGGTAAATTCCCCTTCTCATGACCCTATTTTTCCTGTTGAACTTTAACGAGAACTCGAATTCACCTAGTCCTTCAACTAAGTTTCAGAATGAAGAGGAGGAGGCAACAAGAAATTGGCAAAGGAAAACAGCAATAGTGTTGCTAAACAGTGGAAACAAGAGGCTGTTATCTGGTCTTGTAGATTCAATAGCCAATGGAATTCCATGTTTAGGAAGAGCAAGCCTAGTTACTGTCACCTGGATGAGCAATTTTTTCTGTTTCATTGAGGACAAAGGAGTTCAGTCTTTAGTTTATTCGGAGCTGATCCCCGAGCTGATAAAGTTATTGAAGTACAATAATGCTATAGAGGAAAGAGTTCTTGCTTCACTTTCATTACTCAAACTGGCAAACAATTCAGGTATGGGATTTTGCAAGCTATACTATAAAATTGTATGCTCTACCATTAAGAGAAAATTTAAGTTGTTACTACTTCCATAATACCTAATTAAACTTTATCACAAAAAAAAAGAAGCACATTTTGAACTACTTTCACAGAGTTTTGGTCTACTACTTTTTTCAGATTATTTGGCAAAATTGTCTCCATTGGATAAAGAGCTCATAAATGATCTGCATCAACTCTCAGAAGTAACATGGACAGCAAAGGAGCTTGTTTCAATTATTTCAAGCAGCTCAAGGCATCATCAGCAGCTTAATGTACCTTAACAATTTGGTTATTTTTGTTTAGTCATTCTACCTTGTACATGTCGATGAAGCTAAGCACAGGTTGTCTATATATTAGTCTTTCTTGGAGATAATTTTAGTTATAAGTGAGGCTATTTCTCAACCGCGATACATCTTCTTCTTCATTCTTGAGTAATTCATAAATAGCTTCAGTCGATTGCGAAGCAAGTATTGCCAAAGACTATGGACACAGATAATGCCTCTAATTCTTCAATATACAAAAACAGAAATTACCATGTCTCTATAACACTTGATGCAAAACTGAGAACAACATTGTAAAGTGAGGTTTTCAAGATTATATGGGGAGAAAACATAGAACTCTGTTCCTTGAGAGTATTTAGCACAGTTCAGTTTGTTTTTCTTGTTCAAAATTTTTAATAAAAAGCATAGATCAGTAAGAATCGAATCCATGAAACTAAGAATATTAAGTATATTGAACTGAGTTACGATACAAAACGTATGATTCAAGGCTCAGTCAATCACATATCAGTTTGATCTACTTCACATCCTTACATAGAAATATCCTTCTATTTTTGCACAAGTGGGATGAGCTACTTCTATGCTGTAATGTAAATAACTTCTGTCAATATTTCTACTGTAACTTTTCTGCATATTATGTTCCAAATGGTTTGAAATCTCATAGTTAAATACGCATGAGTACCATAAGAACCAAAAAGTCCTCTTGCGTGTATAGCCTTAGTAATCTCGATTTTGGAATTTGACGATACTGCTGTAAAAGGTTCCCAAAAGGAAAGACAGAACGCAAACCACATTGAATATAGAGACTAGTAGTAGCTCAAAAACAAGTACATTAAACGAAATTCAACTTTTTCTCTCACGATACATATTAGAAAGCATCACACAATTTAAGTAGACATACTGGGCAGTGGCCTCCAGCTCCAGACACCCTCAAAGTAAATAAAACCATTATGACACAGGAAATAAAAGAAGCATGAAATCCCATTAGAAACTCCGATGAAAAGGGCATCTCCAAAATGTAGACAACCATCTCCTCCCCAGTGTGGGAATGGTGAAAGAGATCAAAGAGCGAACCGGACTGTCATCAAACGAAAAACATTATGTCCTTCAAATCATGGTGCAAATCATAAAATTCTTGTGCAAATGAGTCAATTGGTGAAGATGATGACGATGAAGCTTCAGAGGATGAAGTCGTAGACCTAGGAGATTTCATCTCCATAAGCACCTCTTGGAACATCCGTCCCCTGTAAGCAACAAGGTCTGCATAGTAAACTGGTGGAACAAGTGAAACAGGTTTAGTGCACCGTGCAAAAGTGAAGCACATGTTGTATATAAGACGTTGTAAATCGACAGATATGAAGCCATTATCATCATATAGAACATGATAGTGAGTTGCCTTGCTAGTACCCAACTGTCCATAGTGGCTGCAAAGATAGAAGTCAAAACCAGATGGATGAACAATTTGTGTATCCACAACAGTACCCGGAGACACATTTCCCTCCTTAGGAAATAGTCGTGTATGGTGTCTCTTCTGAGCCACAACAAGAGTGATTGCTGGTTGATACTTATTACTTTCGTATATAGCGTTAGCCAGATCAGTCAACTCTTCGTTGAGTACCATATCAAACTGACTGTCACTCACACCATCACGGAAAACAACAATTTTGTTTGGTTTAACAGAGTTGCGTTTCTCATAAGTAAGAACTAGGTCTTTACACATTTTCCCAAACTCTATAATCTTTTCAGTCCTGGATTTCTGTGGAGAAACTCTAGCGGCATATTTATTAGCAGCCGGCCAGTTGATGGTGGCAACAACAGCTGCTATGGATGGATATTTGTCAGCATCCTTGCCAGCAGGATGATTAACATCAGCTCCAATGAACATGACATTGTCATCACTTCTGAAATTTGGGAGTCTTTCCATAAGTTCCATATTGCTGCCCCCAAGTTTTGCATTAATCTTCATACAGAGGTTGACAATATATTGATTATGTCCCTTGTTGGCATTAGAAGACAAGCAACATTGGGTTACAATGCCAATTTTTGTCTCAGATACCCACTTAAGATACTTGTACCCATTATGCTTTGATGTCATAACACAAAGTATCATTTGAAGTTTACCCTGTAATTTTTTTTCAGCTGCATCAGTCACAACTTTGAGGAGATTTTCAACCTTGCCAACAGTAGAGAGCTCATTCATGTCAGTTAAATGTACTACAGCAGGGATGTCCATATTAATACTCAATTGCGTGCACCGATCTTTCAATTTCACGACAAATTCATCAACTTGTAGCTTCAAGGAATCCCTGCATCCCTTAGAGCTAAAATCTATCAAAGCCCATCGTTGAAGTGCCTTGCCTTCCACCACAGATTTCCCAACAAGATTCCACTGGCATGTCTTATAATTCAAATTAGGTGGTGGATTTTGACCGCCTAGCTTCAAAACAGGGACAGGAAGAATACGACCCGAAATTTGGGTCATGTTGTCATCAACACGAATCTTAAAATTATCGGGAATAGTCCTGCAATAATCAATTGAAAAAAATATTGTAATGCTAACAGGTTTATCATCAATAAGTTCATGATGACAGTGAATAAATTGACGATCTAAACTAAATAAAAAGCAAGGAAAGAAACCCAAACAGAAGATTAGAAATGAAATACATAGATTGCAACATAAGTGTATCAATATCCACCTACACTTTATGAAATGTATATACTCTATAACGAAAGAAAACCAACCCATAGACCGCCGCACATTTAACAAGAGGAAGCATCAAAATCTCAGAAGAAAACACATAAGATACAAAAGAAATTTAAGGAATTTCACATACATGCGCGGCCCATCTTTAGCCAGTACCGTCTCACGTATTAAATCCCTTCTCGTTTTGGGTTCAAGGGAGGTTGTTTTCAAAAGATCCTTAGGAAATCGTTGTCCCTCAACCAAGTCACAGAATTCCATCGGGACATAGTTGTCCTTATCACCTTTTCCAATATTTAGTGAAGGTAAATGCCTGTTCTTAATTTTAGGGGTATAATTTTTATCGAAGTAGTCAACAAGCAAAACCTCCTCTCCCGTATCTTGAAGTTTAAATTTAACAGTACGAGTTTCTCCTGGAAGTAGCTCCTTGATGACAAACTTCTGCTTGTTAGGACGATGAGTTACTTTGACTTTCAGACCAACCAATAAATCACTTGCACCTGCTCTTGTATACTTGAAAATGTCGTCTATATTTTTCCCATAATAATTCTCAAGAAATTCTATCACTGGAATTTGTTCCGGGATTACCAAGAGTTCTGAGTAATCTAAGCACAACGCAAGACCTTCAGATGTTAGCTTTAGGCTCTGCTGAAAACCTTTACGTGCAGCAACCCCGCCATTAAAAGATGTGCGAGCACTGTTAGAGTAGAAACAACGACCTACAGAAATCCTGCACCTCCTAGGATTTTCTTTCATAACCAAATCCATTCCTTGCAGTACATCACGAGGAATAATATTCTGGAGGCTTCGTCTCAAATATTCAGTCACGTTGTCAAGTTGTAATTGAGCAACAAGCTTGAAGGTAAGTATGTACTTGTATTCCTTAGCATCATCCTCAACAGAGCAGTTCACAGTTAAAGGCTTAGCAGGAAGATCAACAGCACTGTAAATGTTTCTAATACCGTCATATGCAGTTTTATCACAAGGAAATTCAGCAGGCTTATCCATCAACCACTTTTCTCTTATCTTACGGAGATCAAACCTGTCTGTTACTGACTTCCCAGGCTGATCCCCATCAACCTTTTGTACATCCACATCATAATGCAAAATGATAGTTCCGTCATTAAAATCAACAGGAAAGTGATTAGCATGCAGGCTAACAGACTCGTCAGAAGTGTTTCCACCATCAGGTCGTCCCATAGGTTCACGTTTTTTTGAATCCTTCAGAGTTATTTTCCCCAGAAGAACTGGAGCATCTGCCCACAAAAATAGTACAGTGCATTTTAAGAAATAATCAATGTTGACATGCATAATATATATGTTACTCCATTTGCAGTGAGCTAATAAAAAAGAAAATACAGGTCTGCACATGATAATTACTCATGTATTTGAAAACAAATATACAGAAACACCTGTATATGAATTTTAAACTTTTAACCAAAACGCTAGTTCAATCTCTGAAAAATACAACTTCAATTAATTCTTTAATGCTGTAAAAAATTCCAGTTCAATGCTAAATAATACTCTACCCTTTTGTTGTTGTTGTGGCGGTGGTGAAGCAGTACCAGCACCTTTTCTGGCAGCATTGAGCCAATTCATACCAGTAGCTACCGGAGTCTGACTAACCAGCTGATTTTCCGGAGCCACAGTCTCAGTAAACTGATGCTGATCCGATGGCCTGGGCTGGTTAGATGAAGATGAACCCATCTGAAACGCATCCCTTCCACCACGACCACGTCCACGGCCTTGTTCCTGTTCGTGCTGAACACGAGCACGGCCTTGTTCCTCTTCGTGCTGACCACGAGCACGGCCTTGTTCCTCTTCGTAGTAAGCACGAGCACGGTATTGGCTCGGGTCGTAGTAACCACGAGCAGGGCCTTGTCTCTGTTCATTGTGACCAGGAACACGATCAGAATTACGACCACGTTTACGGTCTCCACCACGTCCGTTGTTGTTTCCACGGTCCATTTGCGAGTATTTTTTAAGTAAGAGAGAAAGAAAACTAGCAACTGTAAATTCTTGTAAAGTTTTTGCGTTGAGAATGATGAAGTTGATTGAGCTTAAATAAATACACTATATATCGTATCGACAGAGACGAAAAAAGGACGATTGCAGGAAAAAGTGAGCGGATGAATTCATGCATGCAATTGACCTTTTAGTCCCTATAAGGTTTGTTAAATAAACCACAAAATTATTCGGTGTCTTTGTCTTCCAAACTTTTGGGGTTGAGGGTAGTTTTGGTATTTAATCATTTGGATGAAGTTAGTGGGGAAAAAGTGGTTACTGGTGAACAAATACAACGACTACGTACTCGACTTGTCAGTGACACTGTAAAACGCTGCAACGGAAAAATAATTACCCATTCCATTGTTAAATTATAAAAAATCTCATTTTTCTGATTTTATTTTTACTTATATTAATTTTTATTCATCTAGTTCTACTTCATGTTTTTCTTACGATTTTTATTCATGTGTGACATTGCATAATTTTGAAAAATAATACGATTTATTTAAATATAGTATTACATTTGTTTAAACAATACTAATATAGTATGACTTTATTTGAGTACATTTAAATTTTTTTTTGTGTGTTTACTTCTTATTTATAAAATTTGAATTATACCTTTTTTAAATAGTGTTTATAATGTTAACCAAATGTTTGAAGTTAGATTTGATGGCTACTTTATTATTATTATTATTATTACTACTACAACCTTAGAGGGAAATTTGAACTATGATGAAATTATGACAAAAGAGAGTTTACTAAAATCATTTTATTGTATCAGATCATTGGCGTTTAATTAAATATGGTATAATATAAAATGGAATAAGGAACCCTAAAAGGAATAATTGAAGTTGGGATCCCTAAGTTATTGCTAAATTAAGATTTTAATCCCTAAGTTATTGCTAAATTAAGATTTTAATCCTTTGTATTCTTTTGCTAAGCAAATTTAATTTTTGCTTCAATTATGACGTACTAATTCTTTCCAATTACTTCTCCTCAAAGTCTATTTCAAATAACTATTTTTATATATAATGTCAAAACTTAAAAAAAAATGATCACAAGTATTAAAGGAGATTATACCCATCTTAATTTGATATTGTACTTGATTTATTCATTTGTTGACTTTGTAATTTGCATTTTTTTTATCACAATTGGGAAAAATTGATAAAGATAATATCAATAACATGTAATGAAAGATATAAAAACTCTCAAATATGATTTACATGCAATTAAATGCAAGTATTTGGGGTTGTAGACTAAATAAAAAACTAAAGTTTTAAGTACCTGACAAAGAAATTTTTTATTGTTCACTATAATAATTCTTCAAATAAAAAATTTCTCTAAAATACTAAGAGTTCATATTCTAAATAGGAAGTTTTCTAGTGTCTTATCATGTTAATTTCGGTGAGAATTTTATTCATATTCCTAATAGCATATGTGCACTTCTCTTCCAGATTAATTATATTTCAAATTCAGGATAGTATTGATATATTATCCGTTTAATTTTATTTTTATTTTTTATGTACTAAGGAATGTTGTCAACAAAGCTTTACTTTTTCGAATTTCTATAATATATTTTTATATCAAAAAACTTCAAATAAAAATGAGGATATCTTATCCATATATCATGATCCTTGTTTTAATAAATATGACATACTTATCTATTAGAATTATATACATATTATTATAAAAATACAAATGGAGTAAAATTGTACATGAGATAATTAACACAAAAAAAAATGAAATTATAAATCGTATTTGGCCTAAGGTTGTTTATAAGATTATAAAACCTCTTTTTTTTTTGGATGTTGCTTGCGGATAGTTTTAGTGACTTGATGGTATAATATTATATTAAGGTCTCTCAAGTTTTTTTTTTTTTTTTTTTTTTTCAGTAAGGGAAAAACAGAAAGTGAGAAAATGTTATCACATTGAATAACAGAGAGAGAGAGACATGAACACAAATTTATTAACAACTTGACTGGGAATACATAATACGGGACATGTAAAAGTAAAATTATTAAAACATAATCAAACCATTAAGACATCAATGCATAGAGAATAAAAGAAGCATGAAATCCCATTAGAAACTCTCCAAAATGTAGACAATCATCTCTTCCCCAGTGTGGTAAAAAAAGTGTGCCATCAGACAAAAAACATAATGTTCTGCAAATCAGGCTGCAAATTATAAAATCTTTGTTCAAATGAGGCAGGTGAAGTTGTAGAGCTAGAAGCGTTCATCTCCATAACCACCTCCTGGAACATCCGTCCCCTGTAAGCAACAAGGTCTGCGTAGTAAACTGGTGGAACAAGTGAGACAGGTTTAGTGCATCGCGCAAAAGTGAAGCACATGTTGTATATAAGACGTTGTAAGATGTCAGAATTGAAACCATTCTCATCCCATAGAACATGATAGTGAGTTGCCTTGCTAGTACCCAACTGTCCAAAGTGGCTGCAAAGATAGAAGTCAAAATCAAATGGATGAACAATTTGCGTATCCACAACAGTACCTGGAGGCACATTTCCCTCCCTAGGAAATAGTCGCGTATGGTGTCTTTTCTGAGCCACAACAAGAGTGATTTCAGGTTTATACTTGTAACGATCGTATATATCTTTTACCAAATCATTCAACTCTTCGTTGAGTACCATATCAAATTGACTCCCACTCACACCATCACGGAAAACAACAATTTTGTTTGGTTTAACAGAGTTGAGTTCCTCATAAGTACGAACTAGGTCTGCACACATCTTTCCAAACTCTAGAATCTTCTCAGTCCTGTGTTTCTGAGGACAAACTCTAGCAGCATATCTATTAGCAGCTGGCCAGTTAATGGTGGCAACAACGGCTGCTATGGATGGATATTTGTCAGCATCCCGGGAAGTAGGATGATTAACATCAGCTCCGATGAACATGACATTGTCTCCATTTCTAAAATTAGGGAGTCTTTGCATAAGTTCCATATTGCTGCCCCCAAGTTTTGCATTAATCTTCATACAGAGGTTTGCAAGATACTGATCCTGTCCCTTGTTGGCATTAGTAGACAAGCAACACTGGGTTACCACGCCGATTTTTGTCTCAGATACCCATTTAAGATATTTGTACCCATTATGCTTTGATGTCATAACACAAACTATCATTTGAAGTTTACCATTGATTTTCCGTTTAGCTGCATCAACCACAAAATTGAGAAGTTTTTCAACCTTGCCAACTTCAGAGAGTTCATGCATGTCAGTCAAATGTACTTCAGCAGGTCCTTCCATATTAATACTCAATTTGCTGCACCGATCTCTCAATCCGATGACAAACTCGTCAACTCTTAGCCAGTTGCGTTCCTTAGAGCTAAAATCTATCAAAGCCCATCGTTGAAGTGCCTTGCCTTCCACCACAGATTTCCCAACAAGGTTCCACTGGCACTTATCATTCACACGAAGTGGACTTTGACCGCCTAGCTTCAAATCAGGGGGAGGAAGAACACGACCGACAACACCGGTCATGTTCTTATCAACTTTGATCCCAAAATTATCGGTGATAGCCCTACAATAAACAATTGAAAATTACAAGGAAAAACAAAAGATGCGAATTACATATATCAGTATATCATCAACAAACTCATGATGCATACAACAACATACCAAGTTAGATCCCGCAAGACCTTACCATTACTTCATGGAGATAGAGAAGTTGTTCCGAAAGAGCCTTGCTCAAATGAAAACATCAAGCCCTCAAAATCTATAACGGGACCCAGCTAGCAAGACAACCATAGGATGAGGCAAAAAGGCAGCTTACTAAGAATTACCATTCATAAATTTCTCATTTAAAAATACAACAAAAATTAGAAGATAAACTACTAACTACTATTTCAACAAAATGTGCAAGCTCCATAAATGAAGCCATAACAAACATGCGAGCCAAGAAAACCACACATAAAAGCAGAGATATTAAATCCATGATATTTCATCACATGTAGTAGTAGTTTTTTTTTTTATTTTCTAGCCGGAAAGAAGGAATTCAAGAGAAAGCATAACACATATTTAAGGAATTCACATACCCGCACGGCCCATCTTCAGCCTTTACCATTTCACAAGTTGCCTCCTTTCTCTCGTTGGGTTGAGCTAATGACATGTTCTTCAAAAACATAGCAGATGCCTTGTCCAACTCCTCCTTAGGAAACCGTTGTCCCTCAACCAAGACACAGAATTCCATTGGGACATAGTTTATCTTACTACCTTTTCCAACATCTAATGAAGGAAAATCCTTGAACTGAATCTCCCGCTGATATTTATCCCTGAAGTATTCAACAAGAAGAACATCCCTTGGGGGATCTTTGCCTTCTGGATCTTCAAGGGGGAAAGTAATTTCACTAGTTTTGCGATCCGTTAGCTTCTTAATAACAAACTTCTGGCTTGTACGACGATGATTTACTGTGACTTTCAAACCCTTTAATGCATCATGTGCAGCTTGATGGTTGTACCTGAAAATATCTTCTTTAGGTATTTGAAAATAGTTCCTCAGATAGTTTAGCACTGACATTGGTTTCCGGAGTGCCAAAACTGAGTAATCTAAGCACAACGCCAACCCTGCTTCTGTAGGCTTTAAGCTCTGCTGAAAACCTTTATATGCAGCAGCCCCGAATCTAAAGTCTTTATGAGGATTCTTAGAGTAGAAACAACGACCTACAGAAATCCTGTGTCTAGAAGGATTATCTTTCATAAACAAATCCATTCCTTGCAGTATATCACGAGGAGTATACGAAAGGTTTCCACTCAAATATTGTTCCAGCTTCCTAAGTTGTAATTCAGCAACAAGGTTGATGGTAATGTCATAAGTGCGTGACTTAAAATCTTCCCCGTCAGACCAGTTCACAGCAAAACACCCAGTAGGAAGTTGAACAGCACTGAAAATGTTCTTGTTACCGTCATATGCAGTATTATCTAGGGGAAATCGAATAGGGTTATCCCTCGCACAGCTTTGCTCTTATCATATGGAGAACAGACTTGTTTGTTAGATTCTTCACAGGCCGATTCTCATCAGCCTGTTGTTGAATATTCACATCATAATGCATAATGGTAGAGTGGGGATCAAATGCAACAACAAAATGATTAGCCAGCAGCTCAATTTGCTTTACACAATTTTTTCCAGTATCAGGTCGTGCGACTGGTACACGTTTTTCCTTAGAACTTTCTGATGAACTCGCTTCTGTAATTTTCAGGGACCCCATATCAACATGAACAGGATCTGCCCACACAAATACAGAAATATATTAAAATTATATATTAATTCTTTATAATAAAATAACTACTCATATGTGTTATTTTATTCTTGTTAACCCATCATAATTTATCAATTTATTACTTGTATGTTTATAATTTATATAATAATATCATTTTAGGCCTCCACCTCTCATTATATTTCTCCATTGATCATTTGTCAAACGATATTCTATTTATTATATTCAAAAAAATGAAGAAATCAAATCCTATTTACTATTATCGATAAAATAAAAGTTTAAATAGTCAGTCAACTAATAATTTGCTTAAAAGGAATTAATTTTAAGGATTGCATTTCAATTAGTAAGAAATAAAGAAAATAGATTATAATAATAATGAAGAAGAAAGCAAAGGTATGAGTTAATACCAGAAGATTGAGGACGATCCACAACCTCCTGTGGCGGCGGCGGCGGCCGGGCCCAAGCAGTAGCAACTCCACCACCACTACCCTGTTGCTGTGGCTGCTGCGGTGGTGGTCGGGCCCAAGCAGTGATTGGAACACCACTACCCTGCTGTTGTGGCCGTTGCCAAGCGTTACCACCACCACGTTGGACCGGTTGGTTGACCCAAGTACCACCACGACCCGGCGGAGCTCCACGAAACTGATATTGACCCGACCCCCTTGGCTGATTCCCCCATTGCTGTGGAGGCTGATGAAATGAACCCATTTGGGGCCCACCCCTTCCACCACCGACATGGGTCCCACCCCTTCCACCCCGACCACGGTTACCTCTGCCCCTGCCGGTGTTGTCGCCGCCACCACGTTGGTAGTTTCCACGGTCCATTTTGTAACTTCAGTAATAGAAACAGAGAAAGTTAATTAGCAACTATAAATTCTTTTAATTTTGGTCTTAAACTTGTCATGAAATTTCTCTTGAAACATTCAAAATATGACGATTGAAGATGAAGTTGTATACACTTCTGACTCATATTTTGGGAAAATCCTTATGCTTGTCCTCAAATTTCTATTACATAGATAAACTAACTACTTAATAGTATGCATTAACCTCAATAACGAGGAAAACCTCATGCATGTTCCAAATAATGTTGATTAGTGTATAAACAAAGGTCAAAGGAGACAATTTTATGTCATTAACTTATCTAATGGAAGCTTTTGAATACATACAAAAACTTTTCTAAAATTCGAATTGGAAGCTTTTGAATACATACAAAAACTTTTCTAAAAAATTCGAATTAAAAATATCTTATAAGAACACTTTATTATGTATATTAAACCCTTAATAAAAACATGTCATAATATAAATGACTTAATGAATATTTATTCACAAGTAGGGCTATTAAGGTATTCCGTCTTTAGTTTTTGCTAAGCATAGTTAAATGACGAAAAAGAAATATTTTCCAATATTGACAACCAACCAATTTGAATAGTTTCTTAGTTAAAATAAAAAATTGGGGTTGAGGGTAGTTTGGGTATTAAACAATTGTATGGATAAAAGTACACATAATAATTATTATTATTATATTATAATGTCAAAACTTTAGAATGTCACCAGTGTTGGAGGAGATTAAACCAGCTTAAATGATATATACTTAGATTTACTTATTGTTGACTTTACAATTTGCATTTCCTATGAAAACGGAGGAAAAAAATCGATTAAGTGAAAAAGAAAGAACATGTAATGAAAAATATAAAAGCTTTCAAAAATAATTTACTTCTACTAATATTTACTTTAAACTAATAAATATGAAAATAAAATTTTAAGTACCTGAAAAGGAGTTTTTGATGCTTGTTTTTTTTTATTATTTCATGGGGTGACCATTTATATAGTGGAAGAGCATCCGCTTCTCGCTGCAATTAAAATTATATCATATTTATTTTTCATCTATATGGAGAAATTTTTTGTTTTTTTATTTTGTTTCTCACTCGGTTTTTAATTGTCTAGATATGATTTTTTATATTAAAAACTTGAATTTGAGATCTTTGATAAAGAATAAATCGACCTCATTACATCATCACAAATCATATTGATTTTGATTCATATTACAAATATGATGTATTTCAAGTCTCTTTCCATATTAATTCAAAGAAGAATTTAATTCATACTTCTAATAGGATATGCTCGCTTTTTTTCATATGAATAATATTTTAAGTTCATGATAGTTTCTATATATTATTCGCTTGATTCATGGTATTAGATATTTTTTATTTTTCATGCTGTATTAGATGTTTCTATTGAGGTTTTAACTATCAGAATTAGCGCTATAAGTTATTTCCCTATTAAATCAGATAAATTTTTATTCCTATTCTAATTAGGATATGTTCACTTTTCTTCCATATTAATTATATTTCAAGTTAACGGATAGTGCATGTATATTATCCATTTTAATTCATTGAATTTGATATTATTTTTATTTTTCACGTGATATTTAGTGTTTTTATCAATGTTTTGACTATTTAAATTTACATTATGAGATTTTCTTTTATAAATAAATATCATATCAAAATCTCTAAATAAATATGACAGGTCTTTTTCATCTATTATGATCCTTATTAATAAATATGACATATTTTTAATCAGAATTACGAATTACTATAAAAATATTTAAAACAACCCAATAGAGTAAAATTGTTAAAGAAAGTTTTAACCAAAAAAATAAATAAATAGGAAATGGATATGTCTTATTTGGCCAAAACACCTAAGTTAACTTACCTTATTTGGCCAAATAATATAAGGTGACTTGCCCCTTTTTAAGACTATAAAACCTCTTAACATTTTTTTTTAAAAAAAATTCTAACCCTCAATATTAAATACCCTCAAATCATTTATTTATCTTATATTTAAATTATTATATTATATAATTTATTTTTAAATTATATTTTTCATTTTAGTTTTATGTATTCTTATAGTAAAAATTAATAATATTTAATTATATTAAAATGATGAAAATTAAAATATTAATAGTTTGAGATGAAAATGTTATATATTTATATATTTTTTTTAAATATTATATTATATTTAAAAAGAATTACTTAAATTAAAGATTTAATTAATATAAAGAAGGGGACAATTTTAGTTAGAATAAAAGAGCTTTTTATTAGATTTTAGTTACATTAGACAAGTTTATTTGTAGGTTGTCTGATTTATTTGAATCTTCCCTCTACACTTCGTTTTTTCTTTTAGCAAGTAGTGTTTTTTTGCTTCGATTTATTGTTTAAATCGATAATTGCACACCCCAAGTGACTTGCCTTATTTTTAAGACTATAAAACCTTTTTGCCTTGTTTTGGAAAGTTATTTGAAGATGTTTCGAACAGAAATTACATAATTAGACGTACGTCACTATTATATATATATATTTTCTACCAGATACATAAAAATAAGAAGAGAATCGATGAATAAATTTGTCTTGTGCCTCCTCTACTCCTCGTGAGATTAGATTAGACTAGATAGTTCAAACTTTAGGTTTGTCAGATTTATTTGAAACTCTCGTCTTCTCTATAAAGTAGTGAATCACTCATCTCTTCTCCTCAATTCTCATTTTACAATCCTTTTGTTTGATTATTAATACATCCCTACTAATTTTACCGTGTTTATTTGTCACTACTTCTATCTTGTAGCAAATTACAAACTTTGAGATACATAGTATTTTAAAAATTAAAATTCTTTCCAATTACTCCTCTTCAAAGTCTATTTCTAGTAAGTACATTTACATATATAATGTCAAAACTTCAAAACGATCACAAGTATTAAAGTAGATGACACCATCATAATTGGATGTAAAAAGACCAAATATCGAAAAGACACTATCATCATTCATCATGAAGTGAGAAAATGCAATAACATTGAATGAGTGATAGATAGACATCAAATAGCTCAAACACAAATATATTAATATTAAGACACGTCTCAGAAATACATAATACAAAACATCACACAATTTAAGCAGTAGACATATTTGGGAGTGGCCTCCAGAGACCCCCCAAAGCAGATAAAACACAATCAAACGTCAATGATTAAACTCACACAATAGAAAAGTAAAAGAAGCATGAAACCCCATTAGATTCACGCACAAACTCCTTTGCAATGTCCAACGGAAAGGAGGTTCAAATGCGTTTGGAAATGGGCATCTCCAAAATGTAGACAACCGTATCTCCCTCCCCAGTGTGGGAATGGTGAAGGAGATCAACAAGGTGGCATCAGACGAAAAACATTACGTTCTGCAAATCAGAGTGCAAATCATAAAATTTTTGTTGAAATGAGGCAGTTGGAGAAGATGAAGTTGCAGAGCTAGGAGAGTTCATCTCCATAAGCACCTCTTGAAACATCCGTCCCCTATAAGCAACAAGGTCTGCATAGTAAACTGGTGGAACAAGTGAGACAGGTTTAGTGCACCGCGCAAAAGTGAAACACATGTTGTATATAAGCTTTTGTAAGCTGTCAGAATTGAAACCATTATCATCCCATAGAACATGATAGTGAGTTGGCTTGCTGGTACCCAACCCTCCAAAGTGGCTGCAAAGATAGAAGTCAAAATCAGAGGGATGAACAATTATTGTATCCACAACAGTACCAGGAGGCACATTGGCAGGGCCACCCTCAGGAAATAGCCGTGTATGGTGTCTCTTCTGAGCCACAACAAGAGTAATTGCTGGTTGATAGTTACTGTCGTATATAGCCTTCGCCAAATCAAGCAACTCTTCGTTGAGTACCATATCAAACTGACCCTCACTCACACCATCACGGAAAACAACAATTTTGTTTGGTTTAACAGAGTTGATTTCCTTATAAGTATGAACTAGGTCTGCACACATCTTTCCAAACTCTAGAATCTTCTCAGTCCTGTGAACCTGAGGACAAACTCTAGCAGCATATCTATTAGCAGCTGGCCAGTTGACGGTGGCAACAACGGCTGCTATGGATGGACATGTCACATTCTTTGCAGCAGGATGATTAACATCAGCTCCAATGAACATGACATTGTCTTCTCTTCCAAAATTAGGGAGTCTATCCATAAGTTCCATATTGCTGCCCCCAAGTTTTGCATTGATCTTCATACACAGGTTTGCAAGATATTGATCCTGTCCCTTGTTGGCATTAGTAGACAAGCAACACTGGGTTACTACGCCAATTTGTGTCTCAGATACCCATTTAAGATATTTGTACCCATTATGCTTTGATGTCATAACACAAACTATCATTTGAAGTTTACCATTGATTTCCCGTTTAGCTGCATTAACCACACCATCGAGAAGTTTATGAACCTTGCCAACTTCAGAGAGTACATGCATGTCAGTGAAATGTACTACAGCAGGTTCTTCCATATTAATACTCAATTTTCTGCACCGATCTTTCAATCTGAAGACAAATTCATCAACTCGTAGCCTAAAGAAGGGTTTGCGATCCTGAGCGCTAAAATCTATCAAAGCCCATCGCTGAAGCGCCTTGCCTTCCACCACAGATTTCCCAACAAGGTTCCACTGGCATTTATCATTCACAGGAAGTCGATTTTGACCGCCTAGCTTCAAATCAGGGGGAGGAAGAATACGACCCGGAACACGGGTCATGTTCCTATCAACTCCAATATCAAAATTGCGGGTGACAGCCCTGCAATAATCAATTGAAACTTAGAAGGAAAAATGAAAGTCTCTAACAAAAAATGCTAAAAACTTGTATCAGTATATCTACCAACAAATTCATGATTCAAACAACAATACATTCCATAAATGGAGTTTAAGGAAGGTGGAGTCGTACACAGACCTAACACCACTATCTCGTGGAGGTAGAGAGGCTGTCTACGAAAGACTCTCGACTCAAATGACAACAACATCAAGAAGAACAAGCCCTTGAAATCTGGAACAGACACAACGATAGCAAGACAGACATAGGAAGAGCCCAAAAGGCAGCTTACCATAAAATACCATTCGAATTCTAATGATAATGTCTAACAGAGAAGAGATTGCTGAGTAGAAAACTTTGAAATTTCCAGAGAAGATAGCACAAGTATAACAGAAAATATATCACATCCACAATCAATTCCATAACACACATGAAAGACAATAAAATCACAAACAGAAACAAACCTCCTGATATTTCACATAAAATCTAGCTTTTTTTGTTTTCTTCTCTTTCGATTGTAGATGCAAGTCATCTCTCTAGTTCCACAAAACCCCATAAATCTTTCATTTAAAAATAAACAAACCCCACAAATTGATCAACCAAAATCATTCATACTAAGGCAGCATAGACTGATTCATCAGCTTAAAAACTCAAATCCACCAATAACTGACACATGTATCAAAAACCACATACTTCTTGTCAAAAAGAAGAAATTCAAGAGGAAACAACAAAATCTCAGATGAATAAGACAAAATTTAAGGAATTCACATACCCGCACGGCCCATCTCCAGCCCGTACCATTTCACAAATTGCCTGCCTTCTATCTTGGGGTCGAGCTAGTGATATGTTCTTCAGAAACAAGGCAGTATCTTTATCCAAATCCTCCTTGGGATACCGTTGTCCCTCAACCAAGACACAGAATTCCATCGGGACATAGTTTTTCTTATTACCTTTTCCAATATCTAATGAAGGAAAATCCTTGAACTGAATCTCGCGCTGATATTTATCCCTGAAGTAGTCAACAAGAAGAACATCCCTCGGGGGATTTATGCCTTCGGGATCTTCAAGGGGAAAAGTAATTTCACGAGTCTTGCAGTCAGTTAGCTGCTTAATAAGAAACTTCTGGCTTGTACGACGATGAATTACCCTGACTTTCAAACCAACCAATGCACCCTTTGCAGCTCGAATGTTGTTCCTGAAGGTATTTTCGTTAGATTCTCCTAAATATTCCTTCAGAAAGTCTAGCACTGGCATTGGTTTCCGGAGTGCCAAGACCGAGTAATCTAAGCACAACGCAAGCCCTCCTTTTGTAGGCTTTAGGCTCTGTTGAAAACCTCTATATGCAGCAACACCAAAACGAAAGTCATGGTCGGGCAGGTGCTCATTAGAGTAGAAACAACGACCTACAGAAGTCCTGCACCTAGTAGGATTTTCTTTCATAACCAACTCCATTCCTTGTAGTATATCACGAGGAATATGTGATAGGCTTCCACTCAAATATTCTTTCAACTTGCAAAGTTTTAATTCAGCAACAAGCTTGATGGTAATGTCATAAGAGCGTAACCTAGCATCTTCCCCGTCAGACCAGTTCACAGCAAAACACCCAGTAGGAAGTTGAACAGCACTGAAAATGTTCTTCTTACCGTCATATGCAGTTTTATCTAGGGGAAATCGTGTAGGGTCATCCGCACACAGCTTTTCTCTTATCATATGGAGAACAGACTTGTTTGTTAGCTTCTTCACAGGCCGATTCCCATCAGCCCTCTGTTGAATATCCACATCATAATGCATAATGGTAGACTGGGGATTAAATCTAACAGGAAAATGATTAGCAAGCAGCGCAATTGACTTGACAGCAATTTTTCCAGTATCAGGTCGTGCAATAGGTACACGTTTTTCCTTGGAACTTTCTTGTCGAGATGATGGACTCTGATCTGTAATTTTCAGGGACCCCAGATCAACTTGAACAGGATCTGCCCACAAAAATACAGCGCATTTAACATTGGTGTACTTGTGCACCAATAAAATGAAAGAACACGCAACGTAGGAATAAATCATTTATGACATAATATGTTATTTGCAGAAAACTAAAGATACAGTTATTGGACCCTAAACTTGGATTCAAATTTTAATTTTGACCTCCAACTTTCCTAATGCAAAAATCGACACTTTAACTATCCAACTTTTAGATAAATAAACACATGAATCCTACATGGAACAATACAAGTAGGACAAAAAATGACATGTAGGATGACATGTGGGACATGTGTGTCAATTTGTTCAACTTTATACAAGTTTAAATGTCTATGTGTGCATATCCAAAGTTGAAGAGCATAAATGTAATTTGAAGCCAAATTAAAGGGCACATTTATGTATTATGCCAAACTTGTGAGCTAGAAAGAAAAATGAGTCAAACCACCACAACTAACGGATTTCGAACTTTTGTTGGTTATATCAAATCCCCAACACATTAGTAACACAAGAAGAAGCCTCAAAACTGATGAGTACTTATTAAAACAGTATGACCAATGTAGCTGAAGAACAAAGCCAAATACAAACCAATAAATACCATTATTCAAAATAGTCTAGTTTTTTCCTAGATGAAAGCAGATATCAAGATTCTCCAAATTAAGAGGGTGAAAACAAAAAGATAATCCAGGTCTGCTCCATAATAAGCACTTGTAGATGAAAAATAATTATTTTAAAACTGAAACAAAACAAAATAAGATAATATGTATATATATGTGAATACGTGTGTGTATACATAGAAACACACACGCACACATTATCATTATTCGTTCATTATTCATATTCAAAGTGGGAAGCTCCAAAGTGCAAAGTTAACTCGATACTAAATCATAATATTATGGAACACCTAATTAGTTAAATATTACTGAATAGTAATGATATCATATTATATTCAACTATATATACTAAATGCTAAAATTGCAAAGGTGTGAAGTCAAAAATTGAATTATGAATATTGTTTAACAACATCAATATTGTGATCTTCTTGTACTTTTTTGTTTTGCACTTTGTATAATCTTTTATAACAAACTTAATATAATATTCTTTTTGTTCTTTATTTAAAGAACAATTAGTTTTTCGAGGATAAAGAACAATTATTATTTTTCAACCTTTGATATTCTTTGAATTGGAAGAAGAAGAAGCATCTCTACCATCATCATATTTATTAATAAGCTTTTAATAGATCTTAAATAAACCCCTATCTAAGTGAATGATTTTCAAGTAAAGTCTATAAGATGGGATCATTATAACTGTAGAACCAATTAGATAGAAAATAGAACCTTCTTTAAAAAAAATAACCTTCTCAAAATTGGATAGAAAATAAAACATGTTACATTTTCATCTTATCCCTTACAAAAATATTATTCTGAAAATGGAGTATTATTGTCCTCCTTCATTTGTTTTAAACATTTACTTTCATAACTCATGCTATCTAATTAGCTATTCAATAGTTGTTCTTAGATATTCAGAACTCTCACACTATCCAAACTCATAACCTCCAACTACTTAATCTAAAACTTTAAAATATATTTTGGTATTCCTCCATCTTAATCTATATAAATTGATCTTTTTAGTTTCATGAATTAATGCCCTACTCAAGGTCAAGATTATCTTTTCATCATATATTTCAAATAATGAAGCACTTATATCATCATTGTACTATTTGATTTATGCTTTAATGTGACTCAATGAAAAAACTATTAATTTTTTATTGGTTGGAGGAAAAAATGGGCAAGCGAAATTATGCATTTATTATGTATTTTTACTATATTGCTAGTATTATAAAAGTTTAAAGAAGAATGTGTATGTTTTATTCCATTTGTGACCTTATTGAAAGTTTGCTAACTAGTAATTGAATCTCAAAATTAATAGTTTTAAAAAAAATGGGTCGGAGAAGGGAAAATGAGAAATAATTATAATTACAATATGGTGAATCAAATCCTCGTCAACAAGGTCGGAGTTGGAATAGTTAACCAACTAAGCTACTAATTTACAATAGATTGCTTAAAGAGGAATCAATTCTAAACATTAGAATACGCCCCTCATTTGGTATTTCTTAATATACTTTTAAAGATTCAATCTAAGTTGCATTCTATTACTCACTGCACAGGCATGTTTTTTCCATAGAACTTTATTTTTCTAATGAATTTATTAAAAATAAGGTGAGCCACACGTGTGCTAAAACTACTACTCCTTTTATCCCTTTTGATCGGGAATGTTGCGATTTTCAACGATCAATTTAATTAATTATTAAAGTTAAATTAAATTATACTAATAAGATATTTTAAATTGAAAGTTAATATATTCAAAATTGTTAAAAGTTAAAAAAATTGCATATCCATATATTAACTTGCAGTAGATAATTAGTATAAAACAAAGAAAATAGATAACAATAATAATAACAAGAAAACAAGGTTGAGTTAATACCAGAAGATTGAGGAGGAGAACGATCCACAACCTGCTGCTGATTTCCACCACCATGCTGCTGACTCCTCTGCGGCGGTGGCCGGGCCCAAGCATTAGCAACTCCACTACCACTACCCTGTTGCTGCGGTGGTGGTCGGGGCCAAGTAGTGTTTGGAACGCCACTACCCTGCTGTTGTGGCCGTGGCCAAGCGCTACCCCCACCACCACCACCACGTTGAACCGGTTGGTTTACCCAAGTACCACCACGACCCGGATTCTGATTAACCGGATAGTTTTGACCCGGTTGATTTTGCGGAGCCCCACCACGAATCTGGTATTGACCCGATCCCCTCGGCTGATTCCCCCATTGCTGTGGAGGCTGACCCATTTGGGACCCACCACCGATGTGGGTCCCACCCCTTCCACCTCCGATCTGAGGCTCACCCCTTCCACCACCACGGCCTTGTCCTCGACCACGGTTACCTCCACCTCTGCCGGCGTTATCATGACCGCCACCACGTCGGTAGTTCCCACGATCCATTCTGTAACTTGAGAGAGAAAAAGTAAAGTAGCAAATGTGAACACTTTCGATGATTTTAGTTATAACTTTGAGAGTGAAGTACGAGAATCTAGTTGTTAAGCTTATAAATAAAAAAAGGAAGACCATAAAAAGAGTACACGCTAAGAAAAGTTCAATGACGAAAAAGGGCTCTACTTAGGAGTAAACAACTCGAAAAGAAAGGAGTAAATGGTAAAGACGTGACTAAGTGGGGTCTTGTCGAAGTAAAGAATAATCTTGATTATTCCAGAAGGATCGATGAAATTAGCAAAAGTATATTGGAATATAATAAGAAAGTGAGAGGAAATGACTGAAAATTTAATGCCATTCACCTTTTAATCCTATGTTGTTTGTTCATAAGAACAGGGACGACAAATAAGGAGAATAAATTTTGTGCTTTTTGCTTATAACAATCGAAATCATAATTAATTAAGGTAATTTATTTTTTGTTTTATTTTGAAAATAAAAAAATGTAATATTTTTCACTCAAAATACATATAGGATGACAATCCTATTTATTTTATTCACAGAATGATTGGGTAAAGGGTAGTTTGGGTATTTAATTAATTGGATGAAGTAGTGAGCAAGGGAAACAAGTTTATTGGTGGAAGAGATACAACTACTACGTACTAGACTTGACACTTGTCGTTGACTGGTTGAACAACCTGTAAGGATAATTAAGAGTGTTTTAATTTAACTTTTAATATTTCATTAAAATTTCTATAATTCAAAATTAGAGGGATCAAAAGTACAAAACTCAATTATCTAAAGGTTGATCATTGATATATTAATTCTTTCTAAGCACTTCTCTTCAAAATTTATTTTAAAAATATGCTTTCATATATAACGTTAAACCTTTAAAATGATCACAAGTGTTAATGGACATTACACCGTATTAAATAATATATACTTGATTTATTCATTTTTTAACTTTGCAATTTGCATTTTTTTTAACGGAGGTAAAAAAAGACAAAACATGTAATGAAACATATAAAAGCTTTCAAAATTATTTAACTTGTACTTATATTTACTTTGGCTAAATATGATATAAAAGTTTTAAATACCTGATTTATTATTTTAATTGTTTGTCCTCGCTGATTTTGATTTTTTTATTGTTTGTAGTAAAGTAAAATTTCTTCTAATTACATAGAGTTGATGGGTGAGCGGAACATTGCAATTAAAATCATACCATATTTATTTTTCATCAATACAGAGAATTGTTTAATTATTATTTTATTCTTTTATTGATGGGTGACTATTTATAGAACGGAAAATTGTAATAAAAATCATATCATATTTATTTTTCATTCATACATAGAAATGTTTAATCATTATTTTTTTTTCTATTTTCTCAATAGATTTTATGTGCTTCTGACGTGATAACTTTTATATTTAGAATTTAAATTTGAAATGTTTAATTAAGTTAAGTTATTTCATTTTTGTACCATAAGTTATATTGATTTTAGTTCATTTTCGGAATAAGATATATTTCAAATTTCTTTCCCTATTAATTTGGACAAAACTTTCACTCATATCCGTTAATATGTTCCTTTTTCGTTCACATTAATAATTATATTTCAAGTTAAATGAGAGTATTGGTGTATTGTTTGCATTGATTTCGTATAATTCGATGTTTTTTTTAATGTTTCACATGATATTTGATGTTTTTATCAAGGTTTTAATCATCTAAACATGTATTTTTACATCTTTTTATATTAATTCGAGTTAGAATTTTATTCATATTCCTCCTATAAGGATATGTTTACTTTTCTTTTACAGTAATTATATTTCAAGTCCATGATAATATGTGTATATCATTCGTTTTGTTTCATTGAATTTGAATTTTTTTTATTTCATGCGATGTTTGCATACTTAATGAGGCTTTGACTATCTGAATCTGCGTTATGAAATTCTTTTTCAAATCTCAAATTTGAGATTTATAGATAAGGATGAAGAAGTTTTATCCATTTAATACGATCCTTATTAATTGATTTTACATCATGAACTTAGAAATTTAGAAATCAAAATTTATATAAAAATATAAATAATATACAAATGATAAATATTACAGAACTATTTGGGTTGATATATATATATACAAATATGTAATTGTATATTATTTCTAAGAACGACGAATATATATGTCATTTGATATACAATTAAAATGTATATAAATCTCAAAAATTCGTATACAACATAATGTAAAATTTATTATACAACTCACGAAATAATATTAAAGCACATATTAACATAGATTCTGCAATATTTTGAAATGCTTGAGTTAGGCACAAATAAAAAAATGGTGCCTAACTCTCTTTGTTAGAGTTTGTTCAACGATAAATTGCATATAACGTTATCTATTAAAAAACTAAGATTGAATAGAGATAGATGAAAATAATTAAAACAAAAATATATAGCAAAAATATATATTATACGAATATATAATCTAAAAATTCAATTGAAAACTGTCAATATTAGTTACCTGATATTGAGGAAACACAATTTAGAAGGAGAAATCAATATTTAAAATTTTTTGAGTAAATTTTGTATATAGCATTATAGATAGTAGTATTATCAAGTTATGGCATTAGAGTTTCAATTTCATTTTGTAGCATTTAATATCTCACTCTATAGCATTTTATTAGTACTTATATTGTTAACTATAATTTATTAAAAAGAGTTTTTATTAAAAATTAAGTAGATAAAGGGATAATGAGTAATTAATTTTAATGATTAAGAATTTATGACAATATAAATTAAGGGCCCGTTTGGAAGGGCTTAATAAAAGCAACTTTAATAAAGTACTTTTCAAAGTGCTGAAACTTATTTTTAAAATAAGCAGTTATGCGTTTGGATAAAAGTGTTGAAGTTAAAAAAAAAAGTTGTTGATTTGTTTGGCAAATAAGTGCTAATATACAAATTTTTAAATCAAAACGTCTGAAATACCCTTAAAAGTTGTTAACATATAAAAGTTAATTAATTTATATTTTACAGCCATAAATAATTATATTTTGCTATTATTCACATATTTATTTCTCATCACAAATTATTTATAAGAGGTAATATAAACTTATTATATATTTTAAAGATATATAATTTGAATAGGTCAAAGAACGATTTAAGATTTTATTTTAGTTTCATCTATAGGTAATAATAATTGTCTATCATTTACATATTTCTTTATTATCACAAATTATTTATAAGAGGAATATAAATTTTTATTTAAGTTATATGTGCAACTTATTTTACATTTTAACAATATATAATTTGAATAGATCACTTGAAAGATTTAAGATTTATTTTTTTCCATTC